GAACAGTGGCAGTTGTTGTCTTTAAAGCTTGGGATCAGATGTTTACTTTGTTGATTTGTAACCTGGGTCAAAGCTGTCATCGTTTGATGTATCTCACGTAAATCTTTCTGTTAAGTTTATATATGGGTTTAACTGCCGCAGCCATGTGTGTTGTGTATGTAGCCATCTGTACATAGATCGAACTGTTGATATGGATTAACCAGTATAACTTAATATATTTCCTTGTTAGCATTTTTCATTATGGCTTCATGTAAAAAAAGTATTTTATTTTTATATAAAAAAGGAAAAGAACCTCTGATATACGATGTGTATGATTGAATATAAAAGTAATGTGTACATTTCTGGGTTTCGTGTGGTTTTTCAGGAAGAAACTTTCCTTTCAGCAGGGATGATGTAACTTCACTTGTTCCTGTAGCAAATTTCTTTTTCTTTTCAGAAAGTCTCTTCAAAATTGGCAACAGTGTTTTTAATCTCATGTAGCAATTATTCAAATTTGAAGGGGTAATTGTTTGAAAAAATTTAACATGGACACATGAAATGTTTTGCAAGCTAATTCCACCTCCGATCACAAGGATGCATTTCAACCAAAAGGCATCATTTCTGTCCGTATGAAAAAGGCTTTGTCGTCCATGTCAACAACAAGTGTGTGTGGTGTTATGTAACATAGTATCTACATCAAAATTACTCATAATCCCACTGGTACCGTCATGATTCATACCACAGAAATGGAAGCCTTACCTGAAATGTGGCAGCTAAAGTTTCTACATATTTCCCAATAAATCAGAGGAGAGAAGGCACGGGTCTCTTTATGGCCTCTTTCACAGTTAATCTATTTACTTTCCTTGTCATCTGATTGACGTGTGTGTGTCTGATAATATAATTATAGATTGCATGACCTGAAATATTTTACCTGAAGAAACGTGTCAGCTATTAGTCAAGATTTACTCATGTCTCTGCTCAGCAGTGGGCGATGAATTGCAGTTGTCACTTTTTTTTTTTCTGGCAAGCATGTTTGACACTAATGGTGTCTGCCCCAGCAGGTTGTAAGACTGTAATCAAAAAGGTGACTAAGTATTATCAGGAAATAATAAGATATTACCGCATGTGTAGCTGCCATTTCTACTTTATTGGGTCAGCTTAATCACTCCATCATGTATGGCTCCAGATCAAAGCAGCAACAGTGCAGGAATGCTTCAAATCTGCAGAAGTCATGGATGTTTGATTATTGGATCGAAAATATGGCCTTTTGGTAACACAGCATTCTCTCTTTTTTTTTGCCATTCAACGCCAAAATGCCAATCCTATCCCTCTAAGTGAAGCTCAGCTTGAGTCCGGGCTCAGCTGTGTAAAGGTATGTTAACCAATTTCACAGTGTAAATATTTCTTTAGCCACCAGTGCTGTACATGTGTTGCGCACATGCTTCCCAGAGAGACCTGGATCACCTTCAATTGTACCCACGTGGCTGACAAAGGCCGGAATTCCTTGAAGGAGCGTGTTTACGCAGAAAGTGCGGCCTGGATTTAATGTTCTTCATACAATAAACAACAGAATATTTTGTGGTTGGTTCTGTTTTTGTACTTTTGCAGAAGAAGGTCAAAGGTCAGGTGCAGGTGCAGAGCATCAACCTCAGAGCCGACGCCTTGCTCCAGAGGTTTGAACCCCTACAATCTGACAAAAAAAAGGGGTTAGGTGACGGTTTCTGCTTCCGATTTTAGGATTTCATTTGGCACATTAGTCCACAATGAATATATTTAGTAGAATAAAATAACAGAAAAAGCAGCATAATGCACAGAATGCACCTGCTGCTTTGATGGAGAGGGGTGGGTTTGTTGGAGTAGATCAATTATTGTCCCAGTTGATCATTTTGAAACAAAAAAAATGCATTTTCCATCCAGTAATTATGTCTCTTTTTCTTTAGATTATTGCTTCTTTTCTTTCTTTGGAGCAGGGGAGTGGTGTATTAAAGAAGTGTCTAAAAGAGCGTAATCACTACCTAAATGTCTTGGGGATGAGGTTTTCAGACTTGGGGAAAGTGGGAAAAGTAACTCTCAGACACTTGTTTCATGTCATTGTATGTGTATGCCATTATGTCTCTTTCTTTAGGGGAAAATAGGGATTAAAGAAGTGGCTAAAAGGGCTATTTTCCCCTAGAAGTCGTGTGAAAAAATAGTTACAATGAAAGTAAAAAAGGCAGATACGTAAAACTGAATTAATGGCAAAGTACATTGTGCATCATTAATTCTATTTTATGGATCTGATATAGCATCTGGGACCATTCCCCTCATTCCCCATATTATTAAACCATGCATTTCAGATTTTTATTATCCTCCCCCATGTGTTAATTGTTCATTTTCTGTTGTATTTTTCGTCCATCCTGCCAGGAACGAAATACTGAATCCTTTTGTTTTTGGCCTGAAATATGGTCAAATTAATGAGCCCAGAAACTCAGCCTCAAAACATCCATGAGTCATAATGATTACGCACCATGAATTTATGTCGCAAAGTTTTATGTTAGAGGAGGAAATAAGCAATCGAGCCTGTTACTAAAACATAACCACAACATGTGTCGGTATGAAAAGGCTTTGCAGGTGGCCACAAAATTAAAAAGTGCTCCATAACGGGGAGTCCAGGCCTCAATCAAGCAGTTAATATATTCACTGCAGGGGGGTAGGGAGGAATGTCGAGCCCCAAGACATGCTCACCCCACCCCTATTCCTATTGTGTCCTAAACTGCATGATCCTAGTGTCATTTCCTGGCCTCTGTCCAGCTATGGGGCCCTAGCTGTCACACCTTTCTGAACCACATTAATTCATTGGTGTTTAACATGCCTGCTAGTGGAAAGGAAAACGAAAGACACCAAGAGATGGATTATCTTTGTCCGTAAATGAGTGAGGATATAACGGTGCAGGTGAGTGAGTTCATGCCTCACTTGGTCCAGCTTTGAGGACCAGAGGAAAGCAGGGAGGATAGTTAGTGTGAGGAGAAGCTGGGATGCAGCCATGGCGACTTGGCCGGGCGCAGACATCTGGCTTGATTCGACTTCCCACAGCCTCCTCCAAACATTTTGGGTCCTCTGGTAAATCAGGAGCACTACAGCTGCACTGTGCATGACAGCAAGAAATCTGTTGTTTTGCTGAACGCTCGAGTCAACTAAATTCTTGGATGGTGGGCCTCCTCGTCTAAAAGCTGCAGTCACGCAGCGCTCTGTCAGGCCCGGTGAGCTGCCAAACTGTGGTCCAGGGGATAACAAGGGGTCCTCAGCAGAAAGAGGAATGATTCGATTATGGTGTTGTTGCACTCAGCGTACTTTTTAGCCTAAAAAAACCACATATTCTGACAACATAAATCTTTAAATTTAAACATCCAGATCAGTCACGTAGAGTAGCGTCCAGCCTGGGAAACTCTGGAGGAGCTTTTGTAAAGTAACGTCACAGTGACATCATCGGGTGTCAATCAACAGTCAACCTTTATTTGATACTCTGGTAGCTGCATCTTTCTTTCTACAGGGCCCTCCCGTCTCTGCCTCTGCCTGGTGAGACTAAAAGTTGAAGGCCGAGTCTCATGCAGCTTGATAACTTTTAACAAACTGGCAAACAAAATATCACCCTGTGTTCTTCGCTGATAGACAGTATATCATAAGACAGGGCTCATAAACAATAAGGGTTTTCAGACTGACCCACATTAGGGGCATATCTTGGCGTCTGCTGCATTAATATTGACCATTATTTCACCTCTTTAAGTATGTGTTTGATATATGCACTCAAAGGCCAGATTATAAGGCTCACTTATTTCTAAAAGCAATGTTATGTTCCTTTTATTCCGCTTCAGTTACTTTACAATTAATACCCCTTCCTGTCTAGTGAAAACCATGTGTCTCCAAAGTTGATGATTTTAAATATTTGTGATGAACTGCAGTATTTAGTGTTAACTTTCTGGTTTGAGGCAATTCTCCCACTTCTCAAGATAAACAAACTATTTAAAAAAAAAACCTTGTGGATTAACTGGAAAATGTCACAAAGCTGAAAACAGGGCTGTATTTCTGAGCTCATGAAAAGCTGACTTCTTAGAGATGTGTGGATGATCTTATGGAATATGACAAGTCATTGAAATGAGTTATCTACAGCAGTAAAATGCAACATACACATTAATGCAGCGGTAATATTAATCCAGAAATATCATATGTAATAGTCAAACACTGACTAAAGGACCTGAATACATCCCTAAAACTTCTTGTTTTAGCTGAGGTGATGATCCCACTTAAGGACCATTTGGGAGGATGTAGTCCCCCCCCCCTACTAATATCAGACTAAATATTAGAAACACATAAACACAGCTCAACACCTCTTCAAAACAAAAGCTCAACATTGTAACCTTCATGAAGATATCATGTATTGCGGGGGTTGTTGTATCAGGTGGATGTAAAGTGGCAAAGTATACATTCGGGGATACATAATCATATTACAAAACAATAAGTAACAATAATAAACCCAGTAGTTATTAGTTATATTAACCCTCTGGGGGCTATAGATGTTGATAGGGGTTTGTGGCTGTGTCCATTTATTTAGTACAAGGTGTTATATAATAATAATATGTTTGATTTTGAAGTGATCCAGGAGTATTCAGATTAGATTACATATTTCTTCTGTAATCCAACGGCTCAGTGGTTTATGTAATTGTAGCCAGTAATATTATGTACACTATGTAAGGTATAGCCGTGCAGCAGGAGGGTTACAGGGGCTTCACTGTGCCTGGAGGTATTTCTTTTTACCTCCTATCAAACTCCCATAAACTCCCCTGTGGTTCAACTGTGACACTTCCACAGCATCCTCTTATTATTAAACTTATAATAGGATTCCCATAGCCCCTTTGTCGCCAGGGCAGAACGGTAGTCAGCGACGTGGATCTCAGGTTTCAGGCGAGGGGCCTCCTCTTCTTGAATGGGGCCGAGTTACGTGGAGGAGGTGCGGGAGGAGGAGGAGGAGGAGGTGGGGGGGGGGAAGCAGGAGCCTGCAGGAATCAGAGATCTTTCTTTTGTCCTCTTGTTCGGGACCCCGACACATGGGGTCAACACGGGCTGAATGGGTTCACACTGAAGGACAGGCTCGGACGTCGGACACGCACGCGGACTGCCGATGTGAGAGCGCGCGCTAATTAGGAAAACCTGGTCGAGCAATTAAGCGCGAGGAGAGAAGACGCGCGGATTGGAGCGCAGAAGGTGGGTGTTTGGCAGCCGGGGAAAAAAAGTTTGCTACGGTAGTGTTAGTTCGCTTCCACGACTTAATTCAACTTCGGCGGAGTTGTTTGAACACCCAGGAGTTGTTTTTTTTTTTTTTACGAGCAGGGTTTAGTCTAAATTTGGAAAAGCGGGTTCCACGAAACGAGTTTTTGGATCTGTGAGTGCCGGAGAGCGGTGAGTCGCGACACAGTCCTGTTTTTCGTCCGCTTTAAAAAGGCTGAAGGAGAAAGTGTAAAAGTCTCTCTTAACTCGACTCAAAACTTTTTAAACTCCTGCTTTTGGTAAAACTGCCACACACAAAAAAGTGGGTGGGTGGGAGGGTATTTTTTAACACCACAGGAGAAACAACTGCCACATCGTGAGTCGCTAAATCCACTCTCACCACAGACTGTAAGCATTACTGTGATTTTCCTTTGTTTTTTTTAGTGAGTAATTCTCCTGCTAATAGTGGTTTTAACTTTCCAAACTAATCGTGTCTCTGTCTCTTTGAAATGATGGCTTCATCTTCTTCAAAGTCTTTTTTTAATATATATATATATATTTTTTTTTTTTTTGCTTCCCCACTGAAGTTTGGCAGCACTTTGTTTTCCTCCAGGAATGCCACAATTTCCAAAACAATTCAGTCTGACTCAGCAAAGCGTGTTCATAGCCCTCAACAGTCCAGCCGAGGATCCTTAAAAGACCACTTTTTTTGGACTGTTTATTTGAAACTGGAAAAGGGAGATCTGTCTCTTGTTGCCACTCTGGATTGTCTGTGCCAAGTCAGAAACAGTGTGTTTTTTGTGTGTGTGTATTCACAGTGACACCCCAGAAGGAGAGCAGTGATTGACATTTGTAGGTGCTGTATTCCTGTCTTGGCAGCTCGGACTTCATGGGGATTTCATGTGCCCTCTGTCTGCTCCCTGAACCCTAAAAATCCAGCTTTCTGCTTTTGGTTAGGCAGGAATGTTAACTCGCCTTTCGCTTTGTCCAGATCCTTTGCCCAAAAAACTCTGCAACCCTCCCCACCCACTCTCCCTCCATCTCCTCCTGGAGGAGCTGAGTGACTCCTGAAGCAGAAAAGCCATTAAATCAGTTGAGCTGGGTTTAGCCCACATGAGCAAATAAGCTACTGTTTAAAGGCTGTCTTTGGTTAGCTGTCGGGAGGGTGGCACTGCGAAAATGTTTGCTTTCACTCGAGCTCGAAGACCTAAGTTACATAGATTGTTTGTTGGTGAGATACCTGTGTGTTTGTGCACAGGGGGAGGGTGTTAGTGTGGGAGGAGAGCCCTGCATCTCCTAGAGACATTTCTTGGGCCTTTTTTTTTTTTTTTTTTTTTGCAGGAGTAGATCTCCTCTTTGGAGCAGTAACACCTGTTGTGCCGTGAACAACAGCTAAGAATCTAAACTACACTTTGACCCATTGGTGTTGTTAAATTACAGTAACGTTTAGGCTCTGCTGCCATGAGAAATATCATTTACCAGCCAGAAATAGTTGTTGGCATACGTCTACTAAGAAACCCTGGCTGTGATGTGACATTGTGCATTTAAGGAGAACTTGCATATGAGCTTTTTGGAGAAGATTACGTTTGTGCAGTGGTATTCAGACGGCAAGATAACAGCATTAGATCACTGATATTACAACATGTGAGCAATATTCAAATATACTGACGATGTGGACGTTTGACTGACTTATTTGGCACTTTTATGGACAATATAACAGTTTGACCGCGGAGGCTTCACAGGCTTAAATGTAAAGCTGCCTCTGTGTTGCACAGGTGACTCCAGTGTAGTGATAACTCTGTTTAAAGGTTGATAAACTGGCACAAACAGAGGTAGGCCCGGCTTGGAGGTCAAATTGTAAATGTCTTGTTTTGGCAGTTGAGCTTGTTTTCCAAGTGTTCTTTGATTATACTGATATTAGATGTCCATTAGTGGTCAGGCTGCTGTGGATTCATGATGGTAATGCCTTTCATTTCTCCAAAGATGCTTTTGGTCAGTGGCGCAATGTTCTGTTTGGTTTTTTTTTTTTTTTGGGGGGGGGGTTTGCATAACTGGTTTGTGTCCTCCAAGCACAGTTTGAACTGGAGATGGCTGAATATCAGATCACAAGAAGAGTGTCAGTGCAGGAAAAGCAAACAAGGTGGTAACTGGGACAGGTGGTGTTTAAAGGGACAATCCGCCTCTCTGTATGAACACATACGTATAGGAGTGTGTAAACCTCAGTGTCAGAAGGGCCTTTTTACGTGTAATGTGCCATACACCTGTGCTGAAACACTTTTAGGTGGGGTTTTTAATTGCATGTTGGGGTAAAACAGATGTCACCTCGCAGCTGTACTTGTTCCTGTCTTAAACTTTATTTCAGGGTCACAAAGTTGAATGTTTCTTCAAACAGCTAACTATTTCTCACCACTGAGAATCAACATGGTTTCTAAAGATAATGGTATGATGTCCCTGTAGCGTGTGAATCTTTCCTGTGGGATTTAGTCCTAGATTTTAGAAAGGAAACTTTTCTGACTTGCTGTTATATCTGAGAAGCCCATAATTTCACTTGGCTCTAGACAAGACAGGCCAATGTCTAGCATGTTTTCATTACTCTGGTGGTCAATACCAAAAGTATTTTTTTCTGATCAGGCTCAGGCAAGTCTGTCTCACCATTTGTAACCATCTGAAGGTGCCAGTTTGCGGAAAGGATTTCGCAAAGGAATGGATGAGTAACCTGGCGAGGGAGGGCCTGAGTGTATTCTACTAATCTGAAGAGACATGCCTAAAGATGCTTGTAATGGCCTAAGTCTTGTCCTGTTGCAATGAGTCACGAAATTCTGGTTATTTTCTTTGCTACACCCTGTCAAAACTACGATACAAAGTCTGAAGTTGTCTGAATGCTGAATCTTGTTTCCAGTTATCCTCCAAAAGCTTCTCTGTAAGTTCTCAGTGATCCTCTTTAGCAGTCTCTTGTAATGGGCACTGAAGTGAAAAAGCCCCAGCTCTGTTCTTTTCTTTATGTCTCGGCCATGTTGAGTTATCAAATTGTGGTTTTAAAGAATTTTAAAGGGATAACTTCTGGCACTGTGGCAGGAAACAAATTCCTAACCCCATTCACTGCTTGAGTATTATAATTCCTGCAGTCCAAAAGCCACAGCAGGTCTCCTCACAGCTAGCTGCAACTTGCCAGCCAGCACTTTGATGTTTGATTAAGCAGCTCGAGCTTGGAATAGCAGGGAGCTGTAAGAATGGAGGTTTACCAGGGCCGGTGCGCTCTGACCAACAGGACTGATTCACAGTTTGTTGTGTAGTGTACGCATGGATACCCGCGTGTCTCTGAGATCTGTGTCTGATTAAAACAAAACATGTGGCTGTGTTTATGTCTTCACCCTGCAGTTGAGGTCTACCTAAAATACTTGCATGCACTATTTGTTCTCGCATTCTTTTAATCATTGTGTGGATGTGTGAACCTGGTAGTGGGATGCATGTGTACACTTTGTATTAATCCAATGAGGAACGCTTGGAGGCTTTTAAAGGTCATTGAATGTGTATTTTCATTGTCCAATAATATTTTCTCAATTGATAGTTTGTTGTGTTTTTAGTATTGTAGGAAAGGGAACTAAGAAAACCAGCAAATGTTCACATGTGAGAGGCTGAAGCGAAATAGTTGCTAATAATTTCATTTTGGCTGACTAATCCTTGAATCAACAAATTGCGTCAGCTTAATTTCAAGCTTTGGTTGTGTAATAGGTCTGCAAACCTAATTGCAATATTATTGAAATCGCAATATGGCCAAGTGCAATATCCAGCCCGTTGTGTGATAAAGCCAAATGTTTGACTAAACAGCATTATAATGAAGTACTGTAGTTCTGCAGAGATTCTCTGGCTTACAAGTCTTGTTTTTTGTTTGTTTTTTTCTTCTCTATAGACCTGTAACCTTGAGAGAGAACCATGCAATGCAGTGCTCCCTGAATTAGAAAAAAATAAAACAAAGAGTATTGAAGTATCTGAGTGTCAGTGTTCTGTCTCTGTTCTTTTCCTCCAGAGCTTCTTTAGCTCCCCGGTCACCTCGTCACCATGAGTTGGAGCTTCCTAACTCGTCTGCTGGATGAGATCTCCAACCACTCCACCTTCGTGGGGAAGATCTGGTTGACGGTGCTCATCATCTTCCGCATTGTGCTGACAGCCGTCGGCGGTGAAACCATCTACTACGATGAACAGAGTAAATTTGTGTGCAACACACAACAGCCTGGGTGTGAGAACGTGTGCTACGACGCGTTTGCGCCGCTCTCACACGTACGATTCTGGATCTTCCAGGTGAGCTGCGTATCACATTTCAATCTACACTGTCTATTTCAACAATATTATGCATCTGAATGGTGAAGACTGGCTATGTTTGTCCAACATGCACGTGTTTTTGTTCTGTGTTCAGGTGATCTTGATCACCACTCCTACCATTATGTACCTGGGCTTTGCCATGCACAAGATCGCCCGCATGGAAGACAGCGAGTATCGGCCCGTCCGGAACCAGAAGAAGAGGATGCCCATCGTCAGCCGCGGGGCAGTTCGAGACTATGAGGAGGCGGAGGACAACGGAGAGGAAGACCCCATGATCGCTGAAGAGATTGAACAAGACAAGCCCGACAAGCCCGACAAAGCAGAAAAAAGTAAGGTGGAGGTTTGGGCAGCAATCACAGAGCAAGTTCAACATCCTGTCTAATAGGTTTTACCGCCGTGTGACACTAATTAAATCAGATTCTAACCAGTGTCTTTGTTTTGAAAGGCTCAGAGAAAAAGCATGACGGTCGTCGGCGAATCCTACGTGACGGCCTGATGAAAGTCTACGTGTGCCAGCTTCTGTGGCGCTCTGCCTTTGAGGTTGCCTTCCTTTTTGGCCAGTACGTCCTCTACGGCTTTGAGGTGATACCATCCTACGTCTGCACTCGCTCGCCATGCCCGCACACTGTGGACTGCTTTGTGTCCCGCCCCACGGAGAAGACCATCTTCCTGCTGGTCATGTACGTTGTGTCTTTCCTCTGCCTGCTCCTCACCGTCTTCGAGATCATCCATTTGGGGGTCGGTGGTATCCGCGACACCTTCCGCAGGCGGGCCACCTTCGGCTTACGCGCCTCCCGTCCATCCTCCTCACGTGCCATGCCCACAGCTCCGCCGGGATATCACGCCACCATGAAAAAGGAGAAACTGAAAGGAGAGCTGCGAGACTCGCCAATGGCCGACTCCGGGCGGGAGAGCTTCGGGGATGAGGGGCCATCGTCCAAGGAGCTGGAGCGGTTGAGGAGGCACCTGAAGTTGGCCCAGCAGCACCTGGACCTGGCCTACCAGGCAGATGAAGGAGGCCCTTCACGAAGCAGCAGCCCAGAGGTCAACACGGCTGCACAGACGGCTGCAGAGCAGAACCGCCTCAACTTTGCCCAGGAAAAGCAGGGAGAGGCAAGCGAGAAAGGTAATGAAGACACTTGAGACTGTCCCCTTAACTAGATCAAATTCTAAACCTACACTTTTTACAGATATTTATGTATTGCCATCTCCATTTAACACATGGCAACAGTTGAAACCAGTAAGTAGAGTATAGGAAGCAATTAGTCAGCTAACAGACTCAAAACTGAATAATTTCAAGTTATTTATCCCCAAAAAAGCCAAACATTCACTAGTTTAGGTCTCTAAAAACTAAAGCTTTTCTACTTTTCTATTTTTTATATAACTGAAAATAATTTTGTTTCTGGAATGTTGAGTGAATAAAACGAGCAATTTAAATAACTATTGGTTGCAGCCCTAAACCTTGTGTTGAATTTTTTGGCAAAACTTGTGGAATCTTTCCGTAATTATCTTAACTAGGGCGGCAACTTACAGTTAACAGGCTAAAATTAGTTTAAAGTTAGTGAACAGTAAAAAAATTTATGATTTCACAGAGCTCAAGTTGACAGAGAATATTTTACCTTTCTATTTAGATGGATTAAATAATTGATCAGTTCTCACAGATCTTGCTGTTTCAGTTCTATGGTGAACATTTCCTAATAGTTATCTATTAAGTTAGATAAGTTCATGATTTATTTCCATCATATGACCTCAAGTCAGCAAAATGTCATGTTAATTGTGGAAAACCTTTTTGAAAGTCCAGGTTTTAAGTGAACAAACGTGCTGAATATTCCTCTGTTTTGCCTCTTCCTCTCCTAGGAATACATGCCTGAGCGTGCTTCCTGCCTCAAACGTCTGCTCTTCCATTCCTACTGGCCTTAAACACATGGGGGAAGCACATATGGGAGTGCAGTCAGACCACTGAGGGAGACCAGAGTGTGTGTGTGTGTGTGTCTGTGTGTGTGTCTGTGTGTGTGTCTGTGTGTGTGTCTGTGTGTGTGTGAATGAGTCTGTGTGTGTGTGTGTGTGTGTGTGTGTGTGTGTGTGTCTGTGTGTGTGTCTGTGTGTGTGTCTGTGTGTGTGTGAATGAGTCTTTGTGTGTGTGTGAGTCTGTGTGTGTAGATGAGAGAAATATGCCTTTCAGTATTAGGGGTCCAGAAAGAAAGAAAAATGCTGACCAAGCTGTGTTGTGACAAATGGTGTATCTCCACGACTCTAAACTTGAAAGCCTGCTACATCTCGAGTTTCTACTTGCCGAACTAGGTCCAAACCTTGACTGTGCCTTCGGCTAAAACCCACCCTGTTCTTTCGCCCACTTTTTTTGTGGCTCGTCCATTTCAGACCTTGTAAGGATTATCGAAAGCTTTAAACTCCTCTGGCCGAGTGTACTCCTGTTGTCTTCCTCACAAAAGAGAAGGCTCTCTGTTTATAAGATGTCGCCGAATGTTAACGTCTTACTTTGTTGGCCTCAGAGAGGATCTCAAACAACACAGCCTTGGGTTATGTCATTTCTGGAGCGTGTGCAGCAGTGTTTTGTTTGGCAAGGGTGGCTTAACCTGCGCTGGGTAAGTCATGTTTCATGTTTAATTTAAACAGATTTGATGTCGGGGATTATTGGTGTTTATTAGCCAGAAGCCACACCATTTCCAAACTATTTGACAGAATTTTGAAGCCTGTATATTTACTCCAATCGGCCCAAACGTTTACCTGGGAAATGCTTGAATTCTTTGACAGGAAATATTCCAAGGAATTTGCAATAATAATTTTTGTACAATCAATTCATTTAAAAACAAACAAACATTAATTTCACCAGTACTGTTTTTACAATGTCATGACCAAAGCTAGATTACCTTTGTCCAGAAAGGCATCATGAATACCGAATATTTCACATGACTGCTGAAAATCAGTCTTATGGATGTCATTTTCTTCCCTAAATTATGGACTATGAAAATGATTCACAATATTTGTGCAAAAAGTTAAAAAAAATCACTTTTTGTGGGGTTTTTTGCTAAACAGCTGGAAACATCTGTCTTCTGGGCTACTGTCAACAATGAAATTCTCTCCTTGTCTTTGAAATTTACATTCTTCTTTGGTGAGACATATTTTTCCGTCCTTGACATGTACCAATACCCCATTATTGTGCAGAAACATGGATGCTTTCATGCATCCTGGAAAAAAACGCACAATCCAGTTGAGGAAAGGATGACAGTTGGGTGCTGACGCACAGCCTGGTGTCACGTAAACACATAATCTTCCATTCATCAAGAGACTTTTGATCAATAGCTTTCCGTGTTCATACTTTTTCATAGCCTGTCAGTTGGTTTTATGGTCTTTGGCTGAAATAATGAAACTACAGATGGCCAAAGAGCTGTTTGATGCTGTATTTTTGTAATCATCTCACTTCCAATATTGCTTCTTATTGCAAGGTACGACATTCCATTTTGAGTATGGTACTTCAATGGTTTATACTTTTTGTTTCTATTGCAAGTTTTGTAGTTTTTGTAACTGTAGAGATTATTTTGTCTTCAGAGTAAATAAATAAATATATTTGAATGGTATGTTTTGGTCTTTGGACTCGACTCTTCTGTGGTCAAGTTTTTGTTTCTCATTTATTTTAACCCCGTGAATAAATTGCCAAATCAGTCAGTTACTTGATCCATTTCTCATATGTGTAAATCAGCAAAAGATCTTTATCCGGAGATTAAACATTGAATTTGTAAAAAGAAGTATTTGAATGACAAATTAAAAAGTGACATGGGGATAAGACAGAATAGGTATCTAGTGTGAAATGTTCTCAGAGTTAGTGGTATTTATTGAACACAACTGGGTTCCATGTTTAATTGTTTAATATCATACATTCCTGTATATTAGTTAACAACAGAAGTCACACTGAAGGTATTGCTGTGAAATGATTATGTGTAAAAGTAGGCCTATGCTGCCCTCTAAAGGCAAGAATCACAACACCAAGGAAAAACAATACAGTGCTGGTCCTACACTATGTTTACTTACAGACTAAAGAAAAATGACAAAAGGAAGTTTGAGAAGACTCTGTGATAAGTAAGATAAATGGCATTTAATAGCAGGGTTTGTTCACCCATATCACAATGCATTTTCATACTCCTCCCATATCATAAAATATGTGAAGTTTTGGTTTTATGTGCTTAGAGTTTGAGATAACCTCCTCTAAATCTTCTCCATTTAAACACAATGGAGATGAAATTAATGTGTCATTTATGCTCATTTAAGCATTTAAACACTAAAAAAAGTTAACAGAAACCTGTCTCTCCAGAAAAAATTTACCTTCTAATCAGGACTTTGCTGTAGGTGGTCTTCATAGGGACTATTTTTTTGTTCGAAAGTAGTTTCAGTCAGAGGCAGAAATGTCAAAATCTCAGCACATCAAATCAAAATCGTCTTTGTAACACTTTGGTGTAAGTAAAAAAAAAAAAAAAAAAAAAATTATTTTTGTAATTTGGGTGAACTGACCCTTTTAAGCTTTAATGTTCAGATACAAGTACACTCTTCCGGTATAATATTGGGCAAGGTCTCATAATTGAACGAGTACCCGCCATCAGATGTCGTGGTGATCCTCAGGGACTTCATTGTCCCCGGGACCGGAGCGCAGCATTGTGTGATCCCCAGCATGGCGGTGGTGTGCTCCCAGGACGAGCAGTTACCTTCACAGTAGTAGAAAGTCAACACCTTTGGATGGACGATCCAGCTGTCCCATCCCAGCTCCTCAAAGCTGATTTCAATCTCTGCTCGGTGGCAGTCGCTGTGCTGGGGTCTGTCCTGAGAGGGTCTCTGGAGCAGGTTGATGGCAGAAGGAGACCAGGGAAGTGTTGCCAGGGTCTGGCGGGGTGAACGGACAGGACCACGAGGCTGAGCGTGGAGGTGAAGAAAGGGCATCTTGTCTGGTTCGTCGGCGTGGCACTGACAGGCTGCACAGCGGACCTGGAGCAGAAAAGGCCCCTCAGCCACAGAGGCCAGCAGGTTTTGGTTGAACTGGTAGGTGGTCCATCCATCTGAGCTCGTTGTTGATGGAGCCTCCGCCGCCTGAAGAAGCTGCTGCGCTGAAGTGAGGATGAACAGCTGGGCGGAGGAGTTGCCTGTGGCTGCTTCCCCTGCATAAAACCAGAAGTGGGCAGATGTGACCAGGGTCTCGTGGTTGTTCTTGGACGGCTGGAAATAATATGTAAAGTGTTTGTCGGTGGTTTCTCCAGGAGCTGAGTCAGATCTGGCACAGGCGGAGTCTGCCAAAGTGAGATTAGAGAGCAGTCAGTGAAGTTTATTGGAGGTTTTTGTTTGTTTTTTTAACTTTTTATTGGACCAGTTGGGGCTCCCTTAGAGTCCTGCTGTCATGTAGAGGATTCAGTGTGTATGGACTCTTTCAGATTAACACATACATAGTAACGCCCCCTATAAAATCATGCAATCAATGCTGACCTCTAGGGGTTTAACTCCTGATCTCGCTGCAGTGATGCATAGCTGAACCACAGGACACTGTGACATCACTGTAGTTGGCGTATGCAGAAGCAACAGAGCACACTTCTTCACTTCTACTTCTGCAGCATGCATATAATGAGTTTACTGCAATACACAGCAATATAACAGTTTATAAGTTAAGAAAAGCAATACACGGTGTTTACGTTTTTTACTTTACCACAGCAGCGCAGGTTCAATTCCCACCTGGATCTTTTGCTGCATGTTATCCCTTCTCTCTCTCTCTCCCTCCCTTGCCTTTTCCTAACTCTCTCCAGCTATCAATATCCAACAAAGCAAAACAAAAAAAAACATCTCACCAGAACTGGGGAAGAGAATAATTTGAGAAGTTTCCTGATTCAGACTGCTTTGATGGTTGACCCACGCTGTCCTGCTTGTCCTGGGGGCCCTCCGGGGTGCATGTCTTGATTCCGGCTGTGCCGTGTCCCCATCGGGACTCTGCACTGGGGTTGGGAGAGGCTCCTCCAGCCCGAGGCCCTCCAGAACCCGCTCTCTGAACCAGGACAACACTGCTTCCCGGGGCAGCTCCTCTCCCTTGCAGACTTGTGTGAGAATGTGGATCCAAAAAGGTCCCAGGATGAAGAGAGCACAGGACACCATGACTGTACTGTACGACAACTACTTGGCACTATTGGGGCGCAAAAATACCTTCTACCAAAACAGAAGTCTGACTATTTCTACTGGTCTAGAGAAGTTGATATGAAGATACTGACTCTCCTCTGTCTGCGAGCAAAAGCATTGTGTTGCTAGCACTCAAATGGAAGATAGCAAAGAGTGGCCTTGAAGAATGTGATGTGGCATTATCTGTTTCTGTAGCTGTTTCACACAGTATCGAGGGAATGTGTCTGCATTTGTTTTTTATTTTGTGTCCTGCAGGGTGTTGCTTTTGGTTGACATTATTGACTTATAGCTCGAAGAAAGGTGAAGAAATCAGCCACCAGCCAGTACTGTGCAGATGGATTATTAATGTAAAGTACTGACAGATGGAAAAGTGTAGTCTCGGATTGTATTGGAAAGGTTTTTCACTCTCTACTGTACCGTTACTGTAAAGTCATCCTATACTTTTAATGTTCCTTTACATCATCCTGATCAAATTAGTCCAATAAAATAACTTATTTTCACCCTTTACTACAATAACACAAAGACATTTCATTTTAGTAAAAGGTCTCTTTGTGTTTGTATTACTTCTCACCATGCTGAAAACAGTCATGTGTTCATTAATATCTTGCACGCTTTGACATCACAGCGGCCATATCTAACACACACCTGCTTTCCCACTAAATAAAAAGGCCTATGTCTACTGTAAGGGAAACCTGTGTTGTGCTTCCTTTATCTGAGTGGCCTTGAATGTGTCTCAGAGAAATATCTCTTCATAACGTGTGTTTCTGCACAAGAACATTTTATCAGCTGCTTAATAGGCCAAAGACCAGATGTTCACAGGAGCTTTGTTTTAAAGCAACCATCAGACTTTGACTGTGGCTTGAATCTCACTAACAGTCAGCTTTCAGACCGAAGTTTTAATTCATCTGTTGCACAAAGCTGTTTAGTTTATTTGACGAAGTAGGATTAATTCTGGATAACTTAAAAAATAAATAAATATCTGCAAAACTGTATAACTTCCATTGGACTAATCTAAGAGAACATTTAGGACTGATCTGATGCCATATTGCTTTTTTGTCTTTGACCTCTTTGTTGTTCATTGTCATCATTTTGTCTGTGTTTAATGCCTGCAGGCAGTTTTACTGTTTAAAATAACAGAATATTTGAATATATTAACTGCAGTAGGCAAAATAAAAAAACATAACTAAAATAACCAATGATCAGTAATATTTCATGTATTTTCATAAAGTAACTACTAAACTGTTAATTACATTTTAAAGCGAGACTGTGTAACTTTTGCTGAACAGCGACCCCTGTGGCCATAAGTGGTTACAGGATACAGGATTACAGGTTCAAGGTTCTTGTATTGTGCATACTGCCTCTTACTGTCAATGCTCTGAAGGACTGAGCCATCTTTAAAGTTATGAGCAACACCTGTGCTTGCTCCAAAGAGTCACCTGCCCACCTGAGACTGAGAGACACTGAAATGGGAGCTAAAGCAAGAAAAAAACTAACTTCTCCAGGTGAGCTGTTTACTTATTGTTTTACTTTTGTGACAGCTGTTCAACATGTTCATTTGTGAAATGCTAAAACACAGCGGCACAAGTCTGTTTAAAAGTTTCCCACCAACACCTCTGAAGCTCCCCAATGTCCTTGCACACACAGAAAGAGAGGTCAGTGCTGTGATGGCATATCGGTAGCTGCCAAAGATAATCATTTTGTGGCTCTAGTTCCATACTTAACACATATATTTGAGGTAAATGTGCCAATATATTGTTACATATTCAATACTATGCAGGTGACCCATCACTTTTGACTTATCTTGAATATTTGTAGTCTCAGAAAGATAAAAAAAATATATAGATTAATTGTACAAAAAGTGAATTTTGGTGTGTTCAAGTGATGTTTAATTGTGCAGCTCTACTGAGTCTTCACTGTTAGAAGTTAATGTGTAAATTATGTGTTATGTGAAAGTGCCATATACTGTATTCACCAGAAGAGGGCGGTAAAATACTACATCACCAGATGTGTGCGGTTCACGACAGTTTTGGAGCTGAAACAGAGCACAAAATACTCAATATGTTACCTCTGATAGATGATGGTTGGGCAGACCAGTCATGAAATTAATTCTCTATTTAATCAATTCTTCTGTTTTAAGAGAGCATAATTCAGCGTAGTCCATTGATTTCACCTATCAATGGACTACGTCAATATTAGATTTTGCTGATTATAATTATATATAAATATAACATTTACTGTTGCTTAACACTTGTTAATGTAAGAAAAGTACTTAAGATGTCAAAGGGAAGACAAGTTGAATTAGTGAAGAATTCAGACTCAGAAATACAATTAATAGGTGAATTGGTTGGAAATTTTCTCATTTACATCCCACAAGAAATAATAATAATAATAAAAAAAAAATTTTAAAAGTTGAACTCTTTTAATAATTCATCCAATTACATTCTTTTTCATATGTGTGATAGAGGAAGTATTTCTGGATTCATTGACATAGATTGTATTGATTGCATTTATGTTGTCTCGCATTAAAGGGAATGACCAGTGGAGGAAATATTCCGATAAAAGTATTCTCAAAAGTAAAAGTACTTGTTGTCCTCTGTGACTGATATGAGCTGGAGCTAGTTTGAGACAAATCTGAGGGGTTGTGAAAGAGTAATGGGACAGTAAAAGAAGAAAATACAAACTTTTATATGTGAGATATTGGATAATTTGCCCTCTTTGGGCCTCACACAATGACTTTAATTAAACAATTAGAGAAGTTATGTCTCTTTGGAACGACTATCAACTTACAGACGCCTGAAACGTTACAAGACGCTGTTTTTTGTAGAAGGTTACAAGCAAGTAGTAAAAATGTGGTGGGGTAGAAGTATAAAATGGCGTTATGCAAGTCAAATACATCAGAATTCTGCTTAAGTAAAGTACTTGATTTAATTTCCACCACTGGGAATAACCCAAAACACACTGAAGGGATTAAGAGGAGGAGGAACTGTAGTGTCTTACTGATTATATTGCTTGTTAAATCCCCAAACGCTAACTTTATTTAAAAGTCAAACTCAAAGTAAACCGAGTCCTCGTGTAAAACATGTTTAGTTTTAGTTGCTCTCCGACTTTGTTCCCGCAAAAAGAAGCGGTGGTATCCTTCATTTTTAATTATACAATGACTGACTATAACGAAGTAAACAGAATGGAAAAGTCTTTGACCGAGACCCTGGCCAGTCGGCATAGCTTTTCCCACCATTCACAGCACGTCAGTCACTTGTCCTTTTGGCTCAACATACACAAAAACATGAAACATAAAGCGAAATAGTACCAGTGCGTGATGGTATGTCAGGGAACTTGCTCTGATGCAATTGCACAGCTTCACAAATAGCTGATAAATGACTGAATAAGACCCTTGATACTGAAGATTCCACACTTAAAAAGAGCCTTTATAAATGAATTGTTAAGGATTTTATTTACGTGTTTTTACATTACACACACAAATGCACTATATCAAAATGTAAATAATAATTTAAATGGCTGGGTTTAACAAAGTTCATAAAGGAAAAATAAAAAAAGACACAGAAAATCAGTTTTTATATGTACACAAGTGAACTCCTTAACACCTTCAGCTTGATAAATGTAGTGAACATATTTTATTGTGTGTACTACGAACTGTTCCATCCCGTTATATTACATTGTACTGTTATATCACTGCCCTACAGTTGTATGAATCACGAAGTCCTGTCTTTATTCTTAGACTTTCTTTTTATAGCAACTCCAACTGTCACACGAACGCTGTCTCTGCCTGTCTCTCACACACTCAGAGACACACACACACACACAACAAACTCCCACACTCCGAGCTATTTCAATAACCTTATCAACCTGTGTGTGTGTGTGTGTGTGTGTGTGTGTGTGTGTGTGTGTGGTCATACATGGCAGCCCAAGAAATGTGACCTGTCTGTGGTGCTGCAGCTGTCGTTGCCAACCTGAGGGAATTGAGGGTGAAGCAGTGAGATGGGAGAGAGAGAGCGAGAGAGAGACAGATAACATGAGCTGATTTAAGTCTCAAAAGCCTAAAAAGGTCAAAAGTGTATTTTTTTTTTTTTTTTTAAGGACTCAGAGGTAGTTACTGAAAACACTCTAGAGCGGTAGGGCTGAGTGCTTTGGCATTTAGGAAGAAGGATCTCTCTCTCTCTCTCTGTGTCTCACCACTCTTCACCAAGGATTGAAGCTGTTGAAAGGGACCATGGCAGTGGCTGCTAATGCTACATGATCTAGGGTGGACTTACACCTACAGCCCCCATGCTCGCTAAAGGACACACAGAGACTCGGGCTTTAGCAAATGATTTGAGATGAAATATATTGCTCAATGGATCCTGTTACCTTCACTTGGACTTTGTGGGGATGTCCAAAGGGATTCCTTTCGGCTTTAATGGCAAAAGTTAAGTAAGTTGCGTTTCTTTCTATTATCGGGTAAAGTCTATTTTAGGCAATGGATCAGCATATTAGTGGAATTTAAAAAAAAATTTGCATATGAAATCCAAATGCTGACTTATTCTTTGATCAGTATTTATTTAATTCAGTATATTGCCATTTTGAATAGTTATTCTATTTTTTTACTTGAAAAGAATGAATGAAATTGCAGGAAGTCCTTAAACCTAAAACAACAAAACAGGTTGCTTGTAGTTGCCCTCCGAAGTGACCCTTTTCTTCTGATCTGAGTTAATTGACATTAAAGGCCAGGATTTGCATCCCATCTCACACACACACACACAAGCTTTTTGAACATACAGCCAATGCTTTCTCACATAGGAGGTCATTATTCACTAATTGCAAGAGGTTGGTTGTTATGAAAATTTAAATCTGGGTTGTTTTTAGCTATTTGAACAAATGACATTTGTTCTGATGAGCACATTCACTGTCAAACTGTGTCTGTCGTCAAACCATGAAGAACATCATTTATTGTCATTCTAATCAATTTACTCTGGTTATTACAGCCCACAGAGCAACAGCCCAGGTCAAACATCCTCTGTGTCCTCTCAGCAGACCCCCATGGAGTCTTTCAGAAGAGGCCTTCAGTAACTGCAGCTCATCTTGATACTCCAATCAATTACCAGACAAAAAGTACAGTCTGTAAAGAAGTCGGAAAAGAAATCAAGATGGCAGAAGGCCCTGGATCCAGTCCCAGTCTCGACATCCCTTCCAAGAGGCCCAAAGTCACTAAGGACCAGGTTGTTCCAGGCGCCGGGGTTGCAACACAGGAACCCACAGCGCCGGTTTTCACCCGTAAACTCCGTAAAGCAGCAGTAGGAACGGGTTGTGATATCCGACTGAGGGTGTCTGTGGCAGGATTTCCAAAACCTTCGCTGACCTGGTACCACAACGACGAGCCCCTTCCTCCATCAGAAGCCCAGGACTCAGGAGGGCTGTGGATACGGGACTGCCGCACGAGCGATGCTGGCTTGTATGCCTGTTTGGCGACCAATGAGCTGGGAGAGGCAAGCTGCAGTGCTGTCTTGGCCATTATGGACCTTGGTGAAGGTAATCACATGATAATGAAACTTTTACACTTTAGTCACATAAAGTAGGTTCTTTAGGCCCTAATAGGGTCGTCAAATGGACCAATCACTTTTGCACAGGTCTTGCATTTCCTGTGTACAGATTATTGACTGATTTATACACTAAATGAAAGATACAAATCTATTACACTAATTGCTGTTCTTAATGCTTCACTTAATATTGGATCCCTTGACACATTATCCCAGTCAGTGAAAGCTCACCCAGACAAAACAATTGTGCATGCAAGACTGTGTTTTGATTATCAGACAGTAACCCTGCCTGCCTTCCTGCACAGAGCAGCACTGGGAGATACTTAAAATTAGCTTGTGGATGTAAATAGAGACTCAGATTTGGTGGAGGGGAGAAGGGTAACCTGCCGTTGTTTTCTATCTGCTGCACAGCTGAACCTTAGGGTGTCGTTTGTTGTGTTTACTGGTAAAATTATTCTTTGTATGTTATTCTATATATGTTGCATCTAATTAAAGTCTGGAAACTTGAGAAATTTCAATGGCCGGGGGAAAAGTTGCCTTCAGAGTAATCAGACTGTCTACTGCTGTGTACATGATTTAGTAGTCGTATCGATAATCACTCATCATGAATTTTAGCATCAGTCTGAAAGCTTCCAGCTACTGTTCACAGCGCAATGATATGATCATAATATGGTTGTCAGCATGATACCAAAAGGTTAGATAACTGCAAATAGATGTCAGCGGTGAGGTTTGGGGCTCTGGCACAGTTCAAAAGGCACAATGATAATAAGGTCAACATCAAACCTGAACAATGAGGAATTCTCGGTATGAGTGAAGTTGCGTTATTTGTCTTGAGTATAGGTTTCAATCGATGAAACTTCTAAGATTTGAACTTTGCAGAAGTAAACATTTCTAAGCTGATACTGAAACCGAACAGACCACAATCAAGCTCCGTGTTAAAAACACTCGAGGTGGTCATTCTGTCAGCATAAATTCACACAGCAAAGCATGCAACACATAAATTATCTTCAGTACGAGCAGTCCCATCTGTCCCATTTTCCACATCTTCTTCATCATGCCTCAATCACTTCTCTCAAACTCTAAGCCTTTTCAGTGTATTGCAATACAACTAATTTAGTGCAGGTTATGAAATAAACTAGCCAATTTGAAAACGTGCCTTTCTAACATGTCTGGATATGATTTTGTGTCTTGCTCAAGGATGCTTAAGCATGATGGATTGGAATTAATTGTCTATTTTCCCGTTTATCTTGTCACCCCTGGCTTGCAAAGATAAGGATTGCATTCGTCAGTAAAGCTTCTGTGTCTTTTTTAAGCTCAGCTCTCCTCCATGGCCCAGTGACTAACTCTAGGATTAGTGCATCCCAGAGCTCTGTATGTCACATACAGGTTTACATTGAAGCCTTTCCAGTGGATCTGTGTCTACTCCTTCTTATTGTGTGATATATATTTCTATTAAAGTCTCTGAAACATCATTTGAAAACAGTTGGAACAATCTTAAATCGTTGTTGATAAGGAATACACAACAGATATTCTTTATTTGTAGATAAAATGAGCAGTTCATGCACAATCAGGTGTAATTGCAGTTTGAAACTGTATCAAACTCTTTTTCTATGAGTGGGGATTTTCTACTTTGTTAAGGGCCTAATAAGCAGAAATGATTTTACAAGTGATTTCATAACATCCAATTTGGTGGTGTAAATCGTCCCATGTGTAGAATATAGAATAAAGTTTCCAGAGAGATCATGGCTGGGCAGATTTGATTGTGGTCTATTTGCCTTGGTCTGTGGAGAAAGTTGACAGTCGGGGTCACCATCTCTTACACTATGATCTGGCACACATGGTCCAGCTGGCATATCATTCAGCACCTCTCTGTCTCTCCTCCTCCTCTGTCTGGCTTGATCTTCTCACTTCAATCCAGTGTCACTTCATACTTTTTAACCTCTGTTCTTCATTATTTATTTATGCTCTCTTTCTGTCTTTTCATCTGTCTCTCACTGTCTCTTCTTTTGTCTCTCTCTGCTAACTTCAGCTTGATTTAAATTAATGATTTGAATTTGTCTTACAATGCAAGCCAATAGAGACAGCATGCTTTCCCCCACTATTTTGATTAAATCTGTTTGTCCACTGGGTTTCTCTCTATGTGCAGAGCTGGAGACCTTACAGTTGGATTTGTCAGACAAAATTTGCACTTTTTGACACTTGACTTGGACCCTCCAAAGACTGGACCTAAAAGCCAAGATATCCAAGTTTTGCTTCTGTAAAATAACATTGAAATATAAATAAGACAACGCCAGGCAAGCCTTGAACCCTAAACATTTAATTCTCAGACCTATGCATTAAAAAGCCTGACAATTGTAATACAGTATGTAAGAAATATGTTAACACTACATTGAAAGGAAAATAGTCAAATGATGTGTCATTTATCAGTATTTAGACCTGAAAATAATTGCTTATGAGGACTTGGACTTGGTTTAACAGAGACTCGACTTAGACTAAAAACATTCTGCCTCTTTGTTTCTTACATAACTTTTGCTGGATTAATGTTACTAACAAGGGTAAAATGGGTAAAAAAAAAAACAGCAAAATAACACTTTTTCTTTTTCTGGGTCCTTGCTGTCTTCCTATCTCTCTGACCTCTGCCTCCCTCTTACATCTCCCCTCCTTTTTCTCTCCTTGCGGTTATTTATGGCCTGGTATGTACCGTGCCAACCAGAGGGCTCGTGCTCCAGTGATGTGTGGATGCCGGCGGGCCCCCTTCTCCGATTGCACCAGCAGACATCACAGATAATTATAGCATCGCCACGGTCAAGACGCGGCGCTGTCACACTCAATCACGGTCAGCGTGATGAAAGAGAGGCGGGGGAGGGTGTGCTGGGGCGGGGGGAGACAGTGAATGTGTATTTGTGTGGGTTGTCTGTTAGTGTGTATTTGTGCACGTGTGTGTGGTTAGTTTTAATGGCTGCTCTGGCTGCTTTTAAACATCGCTCAGTGAGTCAGATAGGCAGTCAGGGCTGTCACTTTAAGATATCACCCCGAGAGATCAGACCAACCAGAAACCAGAGTAGTGCTGTGTCACAAGTCTAGACTACTTTATTGACGTCACCCTCTGGCATATAGCTTTTTATTAACATACTGTCAGGCACCTAAAGGCCTGATAAGCAGTTTGATGGAACGTCTTACAAAGCAGCACATCGGTCAGCTGTGATATTTCCAGCTACTTTTTGTAATAGAAGATCATTGTCGTATTGTGACGCAGGAGCATGAAACATCCCAGACGTGACTTGCAATTACTCGTAAGATAACACTGGAACTGGACTTTGTTGCACCTTTTTAAAGCAGTGGTTTCCAACTTGGCGGCCGGGACCCTGTAAGGGTTTTCAAGATAAACCTGTGCGGTTATTTGGGTAACACGGTAGAACATACACATGTGTATATATATTATATATATTATATAGCTATTTTCTTTCCATAGACGTATACATCCTGTGCTGACATCAAATCATTTCAAATCTGAGATGCTTTTAAAGGTCCATTCTCATATTTACTATGCCACAAAAGCATGTGATTAAAAGTTACATTATATGAGGGAAGTACTGAATGTTGAGGATGGATGTGTGAAAGAGGGTGAAAGTAAGCTGGTCTAGACATTTATAATGGAAGCCGGAAAGGAGGAGACTCAGTGTAGAAGAACTGTACGTGTTGCGTCACCCAAGCCCCAGATAGTACCTGGAAAAGGAAGAGCTGGCAGAGGTATGCAGAGAATTGAAAAGAGAGGGGATGACATCAATGCATAAAGGACCGGAGGGGAAGGGAAGATAACAATGTACGAGTTGGCTTGACAGATTGTTAGAGGTGTGGTTGACAGCTGTTTAGATGCAATTTGTCAGATGTAGTTTTCCAGCAGTGCATATGAATGCCAGAAGGTCTGTTACATCACCTGAAAGACGTCTATAAAGCAGAGTGATAGGTCGACAAAGAGGGTTCAGTGCTACTGTACAAGACCGTCAGCTCTAATAATACTTGCAGTCAGACTGTGGTCAGCATTTGATATTATTATTCACCAGACAGTCTCAGTAAACTCCCATGAGAATCTATAATCACATTCATATTTAGATTACATGAATTCCACACATGCACAGCATCTATGTTAACATCTATATTTCATGTAGTCATTTAGTCAGACAGTCTGAACTTTATTTTTAACCCATTCAAGGCTCCAGTGTTATTTTCTTTCACCTCTAGCTTCAAGGTTTATGAGCACTTAGCTGACTGAACAAGATCCACATCACTTCAACTGGTGTCCCTGTTAACTGTCTCGTTGTCCCATGATGTATGTGCAGTTGTAGCAAATAATTAATGGTGTATTACAACACGTCCGCCTTGTACTAGAGTTTCAAAACTCCACGTAGTCCAAGCAGAGTGACCCACAGAGGACAGCAAAGGTCGTTCAGTTCGGTGTGTTTAATCTCCTGCTATAGCTGGGTGGGGGGACAGGCTCTCTGAAAGGGGGTGCAGAGGGAGAGTACACTACAACTGAGAGGGGTTGTACTATGCAAGCCTCGAAAATAGACCGCTGAAGTTGGCAGTCAAAGTTAGGGAGGACTGGGGCAAGAGTGGGTGAGGGCAAGAAAGATAGACATGGGCTAAGGAAGACAAAGTTTTACGGTCCAGCAGCCATCTTAAGACGGCACCTCCTTGCTTGACCAATTCCTCGTTTCATGATGCAGATGAAGCCATTTTAAAGGCATCACATCAAGAGAAGATGAAACAGGGAGAAGTAGGCCTGTTTGAGTCATTTTGAGGAAGTTCCCCTTGTTTTAGTGGTTGCAGAAGTAGACGTTCTAGTGGTTTTTAAAGGAACATACAAAGGAAGACGAGAGCCATGTTGAGGAAGGAGCTGCTCGATGCACGGAAAGCTTTGAGAGGTGTTAGGGAAGGTGCGAGTGGGCCGAGAAGCAAGAAGAAGAAAGGTGAGTGGGAGCTGACATCAAC